CGGCCGCTGTGCGCGCCCCAGCCGCTGCTTCCCAGGTAAACGCCTCGCGCCCCCGCTACCTCGCTCCTTCCCAGCTTCCTTCCTTCCCTCCTTTCCTCCCTCCCTCCAGTCTCCAACCCGCCAGCCTCCGCCCGAGCAGGCCGTACGTCACCGCCCCTCAACTTTCACCCCGAGACGTCACCGCTCCCCCAGCAACCGGCGCCTTGAGGCCTCCCCCTACAAGGCCCCGGGCCTCCAAAGACGGAGTCAGGCCAAGCCCCTGCCTACTGTCATCAGTCTACTAGCCTTGGAGAAGAGTTCAGCTTCGCAGTGAGCTTTCACAAGCAGAACTTCCCTCCTGACACTCTATGAATCATTCCCCTTAACGGACAAGAACTGGCGGGCTATCACCCACCCATCTGCGAGTCCACCGCTAGGAAACTACAATTCCCGGCGTGCAGCGGGGTTGTCCCACACCGTCATCTGAGTTATTAGTGAACCGAATAGCTTGCCGGGATTGGTAGTCATCCATCGGGAAAGACTTCCCACGACGGGCATGCTGGAAATTGTAGTCCTCTGAAGGCCGGAAACCGGAGTCCTGAGACCGCCCGGTCAGAGGCGGAGGGACCGTTAGTGGGAGGGTCTAAGCCGTGTTCTGACTAGTTTTTTTTTTTTGTTTTTTGTTTTTTTTTTCCTTTGCTGACCCGCACCAGACATGGCCAGTTGGACTAACTAGCGATGGAGAAACTGCCGGCCCCTGATGTGAGCGGTCAAGCGCAGGTTGAGCTCCCTCTATGCTCAGTTAGCGGTTTCGGTGTCTGGAATTCTCTCCCAGTTGCAGCTGTGTTATGCACTAGGCTGCAGCAACGTGGGAAATTGAACACAGTTCTTTATGGAGCCTTAAGGAACCCAAACTGCAAAGCAATTTAGGTAGGGTCAGTAAATGGGAAAGAGAAGATTTGAATCCACGTCTTTCCCAAAGGTGGCCACCCTCCAATCACCGTAAATGTCATACAACCGGAGTAGCAATGGAGGCAGTGGTGATGACGGAGGTGCATGTTTGCCAAGCTTTAGTTCTGTCTGTGCCAGGCACTCACACTTCACCTGTGTTCAGCTACTTCCTCAAAAATTCAACAAATATTTGAGAACCTGTGCATTTCTGAGCATTATCCAATACAGCGTGGATCTAGTGGTCCTCAAGGCAAGTCTCAGCCTCACTAGGTGTTCCGTTTTCGTGAACACCACTGTGAACGCCCTACTGTTTTTACTTTAAGATGGTCAGTCTTGGAAAATAAAAATGCAGTTTTAAAATTAAGTTTGGAGTTGGAGCCTATTCTGTGCTTCCAGACTTTTTCATAGAAAATTGATGAATTCTGCAAGAAATTGCCAAACGTTTTACCCCCAAGTAATCATGTTTGCTGCCTTCCCTGAAGAGGAAAGAGGGTTGGCATTCCCTTGGGTTTCTATTATACTGTGGTAGATATTGGGAACGTAGAGTTAAACAACACAGAAGCTGGACCCACGAAGCTTAGATTTTCTTCAGATTATACTTTAAATGGAACAAGCATTTTATTGAGCATACAGCTGAAACCACATACATACAGCATACAGTAAAGAGCCAGAGAGTGTTGACTCTGTTACTGAGACAAATGCTAAGCCAGTCAGTAAAGAAAAGGATTTGTTTTGATCATACAAAACATAAACGTGGTTTATTTCTGTGGTTCCTTTGTGCCATTGCCTGTGGTCAGGTGGTGTATCATGGCTCACTGGCAGGGCATGTGTGACATTGGAAGCTGCTCACTGGAAAGCTGCTCGATGGAAAGCGAAGATCCAGGAGGAGCTAGGGCCCAGTATTCCCCCAACAGCATGCTGCTGTGGACCTAACTCTTTTTGTTTAGGTCTTAAATGTCTCCCCACCTCTCAACAGTGCCATGGATTGGGGACCAAGCCTTTAACAAATGGGCCCAGATGTTTTATATGTAAAGTATGTAAAAGATAGGTGCTGTAGCTGTAATAAATTAAGTCAGAAAGAGTATCTCTAAGAAAGGCCATGTAAACTACAATCCTAAGATTAAAATAGATAGCAATTCTTTGTTTACGGACAGTTACTAACCATGATTTAAATAGGTCACTGAAACCACGTGAATTAAGTAACAAACTGGAAAGCTAGCCGAAAGTGTCCAGTACTTCATGAAGTTCTATTTGGGTAATTATTTATTTGGGAATGTCTTAGGGTTTCTATTGATGCAATGAAACACCATGACTAAAAAGCAAGTTGGGAAGGAAAAGATTTATTTGGCTTATACTTGCACATCACTGTTCATCACCAAAGGAAGTCAGGACAGGAACTCAAACAGGGCAAGGATCTGGAGTCAGGAGCTGATGCAGAGGCCATGGAGGGATGCTGCTTACTGGCTTGTTCCCCATGGCTTGCTCAGACTGCTTTCTTATAGAACCCAGGACCACCTGCCCAGGGATGGCACTGCCCACCATGGGCTGGGCACACCCCCCAGGGATCACTAATTAAGAAAATGCCTTACAGATGGATCTTATGGAGGTATTTCTTTCAATTGAGGCCTCTTCCTCTCTGATGACTCTAGCTGTGTCAAGTTAACATAAAACCAACCAGTATAGGGATCAAAGGTCGCCAGAAGAGAATATTAATAAGAAAGTATCCCAGTAGAGATACTTTTCTTTTAAAAAAAAATGGAGGCTCCTACACATCTTTGAACTGTGGTTTTGGCAGAAATAGGCTATTTTTTTTTAGGCTCCAATTCTGTATTTCTAAGAAGAAATAGAAAAATGTGTGGACTTTTGTGAATTAACAACTTGGGAAATTGTAGTTTAAATTTTAATTGTTTATACTCTGATTTTATGAATCAAAGTATTTTTGACCACTGATGAGACTCAAGTCCCAGAAAAAATTAAGTGACTTGTCTAAAGTCTATAGTTAAAAGCAGACTCTGGAACAGAGCCTAGACTAGACTATTACATCACTTCACCTCCCAAAATCTAGTTTTTCATACTGTATAGGTGGCATGTTACCAAGAGATTAGAATTTAGAACTTCAGTAATCAAAACACTTAAAAGCCATCACTTTCAAGAGATGCTAGCCCAATGCTTCCGTGCAAATATGTGTGTCGTTGCAAATATATTTGGGGTGTTGGTTACTTTGCTCATGAATGAATGTGCTGGTTTAGCTAAGGGATGGATGTGCTCTGAACTCTAGTATCAAGATGCTGAGGCCTTTTGAGCTAGGACCAATGAAAAGACCTACAAACAGATAGTGGTCACTTATTTTTTATTTACTTATTTGTTTACTTTGGACTTTGATATAGCCTGCTGTAGAATTTCCTCTTGTCATGGCAATAGGGTATTTGGAATGTGCCACACTGAAAGTCTTTAAGGGGCTCCTGGCACTGACAGCTCTTAAAGCTCAACCCTTCCAACTCAAGATATTGGACATTTTGACCATTTTCCTTAGAGACAGAAGTTTTGAAACTAGACAGCTCAGACTGGTAACTGTAGTTCCAGAACAGAAGTTAAGAAAATTCCAGTCATTCAAGATAGGACCTGTCGCTTGGCAACCACCCCCTCCCAGTGTGAGGCAGCTGCTCAGCCTCTCCTCACCACCTCCCAGGAGTTACTCAGCCTCTCTCCACCCAGTGTCTTCAGTTTTGGCACCAGGATTGACCTGGATCTTATTTTAGATCTTAGTTCTAAAAAATCTGTGATTCCAAATCAACAAAGCCACATTTGCATACAACAAAACCACATCTGCATATGCATTCATTGGAAAAGCATACTCATGAGAGGGGCAGTGAAAATTAGCTGTCAATTCTATGCTTCATTGTGTGAATATTCTGTTTCAGTCTGTCTGTGCTGAGGCCAGGGGTATTGGTCATTTCAGAAGCTTGCCAGTGGATTTAAACAGCACTTGGGTTTTAAAAAACAGGGAATGGACATTTTTGAAAGAAGATCACTAGCTATTGGGTGACCTCCTAAAATCATGTTCTTGTAAAGGTTTTTGAGAAATTGAACAACATATCAAAATGAATTCATTATTTATTTAATTTTTTATGAAGAATGAAGTCACCCTTTTATTGAAATTAATGACTAATTAGTGTAGTTTGTTTCTTTTACAAGTATTTTCCATTTTTTTTTTTTGGAAATATCACATTGTGTTAGACTCCATAAAAAAAAGAGAAGCAATTGATTCAATCTTTTGAGGATTTAAGAAACAACCAGACAGCAAATGAATTATTTTTAGTAATAAGAAGGAAATTGAACATAACTACACAAATGAAAACAAGTAATGGGGAAAGTGGGTAATCAGAAAAGTTTTCTCAGAGAAGGTATGTTATAGGGAATGTTGGAGAGACTGAGAAACGCTGAAAGAAAAGCTCAGAATAGGTGTTGAAACAGCTCACTTGCTGCCAAGTTCAATGCCCCAAGTTTGTCCTCCAGATCCCACCTTGTGGAAGGAGAGAAGTCTTGCAAACTGTTCTCTGACCTCCACAAGCATGCTGTGACATGCCCAATTTAGGATGTGTGACACCCAGCCTCAGGGATCTTCAGGGTTCTCATTTGATCCTGTACCACTAAGTCATTGGCAATAACTGATCTACATTGATTGTATATGATAGGTTTTCACATTTGGCACAGGAAATGGGCCCTGCCCTTCAGGAGTTATTTACCCAAGTTCTGGAATGTTGGTCAGCTTTATTTGCAGCTTGTTGACTTGAAATCCCAAACACATTCTTCTTGGGAAAATCCAGCCCTTTGGGTGGCAGCGCAGAACTTCGGACAAATAACCTGGACCAGGAGATGGAACGGTTGGTTCATCTTCAGTCCCAGCTCACTGTGTCTCAGAAGCTGAGGGCTTGTCAAGGCTCTTGAAACCTTTCTCAAAACCAACGGGGAAAAAAAAGCCTTTCATGACTGCCCACTCTGTTTGGGGATATTAAGGGTAAATCACTTGCACTCCTGGGATGTTGAGTTTCTTAGCTGCAATGGACCTACTCTGTGGCATGTAGCAGGGGTTAAAGAGATGGTTGTCAGTGAGGCCAGCATATGGGACTTGGCATGGAGTTGTCATGACCAGTGTTAGCTGGACTGAAATGGGGGGAAAATTGTTGCTGTCCTTAAAATAATGTTCTGGATCTTCAGGATTAGGATAGTTTTTCTTGGGTTATTTTCTATTGGTTTCTTTTTCTGCTACAGCTGTTACTACTTTTTAAAATATATGTGTATGTATGCATAGGTACACATTACATATGTACACATGTAAATGCAGATAGATATCCAAGGAGTCCAGATGAGTCCAAGGAGTCAGCTCCCCTGGAGCTGGAGTTACAGACAGTTGTGAACTGCCTGATGTCAGTACTGGGAGCAGTGCACACTCTTAACTACTGAGCCATCTCTCCAACCCTGCTGCAATTGTTAGCGAAAGGAATACCAATGTAATGCTTGGTGTGGCTTTAAAATAACTTCTTTCACACTGCATGCTGCCAAACAGTTTTGTGAGAGTGACCCTGCCACTGTGTGTGTGTGTGTGTGTGTGTCTGTCTGTCTGTGTATGTGTGTAAATAAAGAGTCTAAAGCACCCTTTCAACACCTCCTCAAACCAATGCCTTTGCAATTAAGTGTATTGAAATTCACATGTCAGAGGAAATATATTCTCCCAGTGCTTCCTCCCAGCACCACCTTTTGCAGTAAAGCATTAATTTACTTACCAACATTTGATTAAACTCTTAAGGTTCAACCCTAGGAGGAGGCGGACTGGACAAAGGATTATTGTCATTCATCATCAACACATTTAAGTCTTCCCCTCCAGTTGCCTATGAAGGATTAGCATTTCCCTGAAAGGAGCAGGACGGAATAAATTGCATCCCTGGCCAAAGAACTGCCAGCCCCTTTCAGCTGGGGGCACATACCGGGAGCTTTTCCCATATTAGTCAGCTTTATCTCAACTTTTGGGCAGGGCCTACATCTGAATTTCATGGGTTTCAGGATCAGTCAAAATAGAATTGTAGGGTTGTGGAGGTCAGAGGCCACCTCTGTCAAAGGGTAGTGACCTTAACAGCAAGAGGTAGCCAAGCCCTCTCCTACTTCCCCCCACACCCCAGTGACTTCATTCTAGTGAATGCTTGGCTCATTGCTCCTCCCCTGTGGTGCTTTTTTTTTTTTTTTTTCAACCTGGTAATAAAAATCCCCCCGAGACCAGATTTAAAAAAAGAGAGAGAAAAGAAAAACATTATTATTGATTTCCTTTGTTCCTGTTTCTTTATAGAATAACCACATCTTGGTCCTTGATTGTATATCGGCCATGCATTCCTTGGAAAATGACAGAGGAAAAGCTGTCATTATTGTACAGTGTGTAGAATGCCACCTTGGGTAGAGGGGAAGATCTGGAGCCTCCCTTAGGAACTACCTTCATTTAATGAGTGCAGTTTCCCAGAACTTCTGAGTGTGAGATAAGAGTGAGGCCGAGGCCTCCTCTAATGATTGTCTTGCTTTGGCTGCATTTCAGCCCCAAGATACCATCTATTTCTGTTCTCATAGAGGTTAGTCTTATGCCAGGACATTTTGGATACTGACCTTCAGAGGGGCAGGGTTTTGCAGTTTCTTGAGAATAAACTTATTTTCCACTCTCCTCAGACTTTCTATTATACTGTTACAAATACCATACATGGGCCCCACAGCTTATTTTCTGAAGCTTATTTCTCTCACCCCTGCTGTCATGGTCAGACCTGATTCTTCTTCACAAAGGACGTCAAAGCACTGGAGTTAGCTCTTGAAGCGTTTATAATGAGAAATAGGCAGAAGACTGGGAAGTCCTAGTTCTCTCGCCCACCACCTCTCATCACCCACACTCCTAGCAACAGCTCTTAACTCCATGGCCCACGTCTTCTGCGCCACCTACACCAGCAGCAGCAAAATGTGGGGGTGTTGGGGAGGGGATTGAGGTTCAGGAAGAGAATGGGAAAAGAGCTCAGGAAGGCAGCTGGTGAGGCACAGCTGGCCCTGACCTCCCAGGAAGAAGTGGGGTCCCCCAAAGACAGTGTCCAGGCTGCCTGAGCCTGGGAGGCTGCCAAGGAGCCAAAGCTGTGAAGTTCCAGGTTGGGAGAGTAATGCAAAGTGACAGGGACTGGTGTGAATGGAGGGCCCGGGCCCAGCACAAAGAGGGGAGGTTTGATTGCTGAACAAACTAGTACAGTGGAGTTTGTGGAGAAGTAGAGGTTTCAGAGAAGTGTGGATTTTGGATGGTTAACGGCTGTTTTCTCTCAATACACTGGAACCCTGTAGAAAAAAAGAAATCTAGAACTTCTTGTGAAGTAGGTCCCTGAATCCTGGAGTGCTGAGATGAAAGGGCCATGTTGCTCAATCCTAAATACATATAACTCAGAGAGCTTAAAAATCCTGGTGCCTAGGCCACTGTCACATCCACTGTTCACTCTTAAGTCACATCCTTCCTAGAGTAGGAATGTCCCTGTACAGCCTGTCCTTGGTGGGACCAGCATTTGGCTTCACTCACCACTGCTTCACTTTAATAAGAATATCCATCACTTGTGTTTTTAAGCTTCTGGTGATTTACATATTCGAGGCATTTGCTTTAATCTCTATTCTCATTTAATTTTAGAGAGCTTTTCTCCTAGTCTTCTGGAGACCCATGGTGACTCCTTCCTTCCCCCTCTATATCATAGCATCTTTATGCCATGCCCTTTCCCTGGGTTTAACATTTTAAAACCCTACTGTCTGCCAAGAGAGGAGCAGAGCCACGAGTCTCTCTGCACATCTCCAGCTTCACAGCAGACATATCAACAGATCTCAAGGCAGATGGCAAAGTCAGTTCTGAACAGGGAAAGTTGCAAAAGACTCCTGGTGGGAGAAGCAGGGGTTGGGCAGGAGGCAGTGGTGGGATCTTTGGAGGTGATAGGCAGGTGTACCAGCTGAGCTTGCAGGCGTGGCCCTCAGTCTGAGTGTTGGCACCAGCCCAAGAAGCCTCCCTCAATCACTGCCCAGCTGCCAATCTAAGTTCTGCCCACTCTCCTCACCCAGATCTGCTACCCTTCTCTCTAAATTTCAGTGCCAGTTAACATGCCTGCTTCAGGTCCAGAATATGACATGCAAGGTCATATTACAGTGAAGCAGTGACTCCCTAATGCTTTGTGCCTTTAACACCACAGTTGAGCTTACTCAATGGCAAGCATTCCTGATTTGTGTGGGCTGCCTTCTCTGAGGGGTCACAACACCCTTTCTGTTTAGATGAGGGATGACTAGAGGCCTGGCAAAGGACACAGCAGGGCAGATGTTGAGGATGCCACGGCCTGCAGTGTGGGTAACATCCTAGCTGATGTTCATGACTTCAGCCAGTCTCAAGCTGTCAGAGGCTCTTTCAAGAAAAAGTCCTATTGCCAGAACTCTGCTGCTCTTGCTCTAAGTGTCCCACCCCCAGCTTCCAGCCTTGCCCATCCCACTCTGGTGACTGGAGAGGAACCATCAGAAAGAGATAATACCTTGAATCCTGCTCCCAACAGCTATTTCCTTTCCTAACCAGAGGTCAAGGTTTTAGCACATTTGGGAACATCAATCATGCCCTTAGATTCTGAAGAGGATGCCCTGTGCCGGCTGGCCCTCATCTCAAGCTGCTTTCTTTGTTGCTATCACTCATTCCTGATTGTGTTGTGAGGGGCATGCGCTCACTTGGAAAGGTCATTAAGCCACTTCTCCATCTCTCAGCCCCAGGTTCTTGTTAATGGTGACAAGTTTTCACCTAAAGGGCTGTGCAGCTAATGAGCTTGTGGCTGTTATTTGTAAATGACTGCTGTTTATCCTGTTACCTGGCTAGAGAATGTGATAATGACTCGTGGTTTGTTGCTGGTGTTGTTTCGGTTTTTTTGTTTTATTTTTGTGCTCATTAAGACGAAGTCAGACATACCATACCTTTGTTTATATGGCACCTGCTTTGAAGTCTGAGAGACCAATAGGGATGTCATCTTGTGGTTTATTCTCAACAGTGGCTAAATTCTAAATTTCATTCATCCTCTCTCTTGCTTTCATCATATAAAGCTAATGGATTGTGAACAAAATGTCAAACTAATTTACCATGAAAGAATGTGATCCAGCATCTATGTTCTTTTTTTGTAAAATAACACAGCTGAATATATTTAAGGGGAGGCTATGTGTAACATAAATAATTTCCATCTTAAAATCATCTTTCAGATATAAACATGTTATGTAATAGCAAACAAAGGCTTGACTTTAAAAATAAATCTTTCAAAATGCAGATTAAGTTGTCACATTCTCATAGGTTGAGGTTAACACAGTCACTCCTGCATAGGCTTTGGAAGCTCCTAGGTTAACATTTAGGCAGAATGGAAACACACTTCTGTATCCTATATCCCTCGGCCACAGAAGCCTGGAGAAGAGCTTAATTCCTGTTAAGTATTTGGCAATCCACTCTTCTGTTTATTCTCATTAAAGCAAGGCACTTGAAATAGCTTTACACCCACTGATCATCAAAGCATAATCAACTTGGTACCAGGGGACGCTTAACAATGCTGATGCTGAGAAAGATGCTCCCTGCAAGAGCTAGAAGGCAAATGTAGGGCAGATCCCAGTTTGTAGAACAGGGCCTCTACAGACTTTCAATGGACAATCCGTACTATACTCACGCTCTGTGGGCCTACCCAAATGGTATGATTACTGCATGGCGAGTTAGTAGGGAACCGAATAAACAAAACCATACAGTCATACAAGGCTTTTGTTGTTTATTTGCTTGCTTCCATTTATTTATTTATTTATTTATTTATTTATTTATTTATTTATTGAGACCAGATCTAGGCTGGCCTTGAACTCACTATTCTCTACCCTTGGCCTTCTGCATGCTGGGATTATAGGTATGTACTACCACACTCAGCAAGACCTTTTAGTTTTGTTCTGCCTTCACACCCGAAGAATTAAGACTGGTATTTATAACGTAGACACACACATGGTATATCAAGTGCAAATGGAAAACAAACAGAAGCTGTCATTTCAATACTTTTTATTTGAGTGTGAAACCATTCATATCTTGCACAACTGTACAGATAGTGAAATCATTCATATCTTGCACAACTGTACAGATAAAACTATTTCCATTTTAGCTGTAGACATGATTATCACACTGGGTGGTGTGATCAAACATTTTATTTACAGAACATTTGCTAAAACATCCGATGTCATATTTCCATTTATTTCTTACCCATAGGGTAATAGGTCCACCATAATTGCTTGGTGCATCTTATAATACAGAAAGAAAACCTATGTTAATCTCTAACAAACCTCACAAATAGCTACAAATCTGACAAAAAAAATACCTATGAAAAAAATTTCCCAAAGTACAATACATTTTTATTTCCACACATACACAGTATAGTATAGACTCAAAGGCACAGCTTTGAATTTTTTCTAGCAAAGTGTCGGAAAGTATTCTAGTCTTATGAAGGAACCAGGACAGTTTTTTTTTTTCACACTTGGTGCTTGCTAAGTGAAAATTTGATCCATCCAGCTTCACAGAGCAACAGGGCAGAGAACGCTACTTAGTGCCATTTCACACAGAACTTAAGAAAAACCCCTCCTGCCTTTTGCTGATGCTAGCCATTGTGCAAACTTAGGACAAATCCTTGTACATAGAAGAACTGGTCCCTACAGACATCAATCAACTAAAGGCAATATACAACAGACCTCTTCAGTCCCTCAAAACAGTGCTTACATTCCAAGACAATGCAGGTACTATGGCAGGTGTGAGTGGGACAGGTGGCTTAGCATTTTCAGGAACTTCCATTTAGCCCTAGGACTCCAGGAAGTAGGGATGACACCACCAGGAAGTAGGGAGGTGGATAACATGTCTGAGGGCTGGTAACTGTATAGTGAGATGACAGACATGGCAAGGCAAATGCTCTTGGTAAATTATGTGCCCATCCAAGAACACAAACCAGATTCTGGCTCCAGTATCCATCCTTCAAGACTAAAGAGCTTTGTCAACAAGAAAATAAGTACCCTACATGGAGTGGTTGCCATGCAAGATCATGGAACAGAGGGGAAAGGCACAGATTGGCCTGCCCACAGTAGTGCTCTATAGAAACAGTCAAGTCTGGCTTGGCTACCGGAACCCAATCCCAGTGACTTTTAGTAAGTCCTGTTTCTGAACTACAGTCTATTCATCCCATATTGAACATCCTCTTGTTCATTAGGAAAATGGATGCTTAGGAACAGCCCGCGAGTTATCATGTATAGAGATAAAGTCTTCTGGAGGGTGGGTATTGGGTTTATTATTATTATTAATTATTAATATTAAATATGGATTCCTATGAAAGCAGTCATTTAGCCCATCCAGTGGAGGCCTCTCCGTTGATGTAAGCAAAGCCAGGAAAGTGTTGCATGTGCTCATACTCAGAATTCCTGCGCGTGGTCAGGGGTGTGTACATGTCACTAGAGTTTCCATACCTCGTGGAGTGCACAGATGGGCTTGTATAGCATGCGTTGGCTGTTGGCACCTCTGGCCAGCGAGGAGTGACTGGGGTAGGATGCAGCCTGGGAGTACTGCTCATCAAACAAGGTTCCATCCTGGAAGTGGGGCTATTAAAAGGGTACTTGTAGAGGAGAAAGAAAGTCAACAAAATTAAAGTTAGCTTGAAGTTGCCTGCACCCAAGGGCAATCTTATTGAAGCTAAAAATTGCAGAATGCTATTCACAGGAGTTGATAGAAAGGAATCAGTGAGCTTCTGTGCAAATGTGCACTTTGGTCCAAGGGAGCAATCAGTGAGATAGTCACAAGGGTTCTCACAGCCAGAGGCTGGCTGGTGCTCCTCTCACACAGAGTGATTTGACTGTGAGCTGTGAGTTTGCAATATTCTGAGAAGTCAAATTCAAAGAGAGGACCACTCCCATCTGGGAATACAAAGGGTGGGAGGGTGGTGGTGCTGCTGGTGCTGCTGGTGATGGTGGTAGTGGTGGTGGTGGTGGTGGTGGTGGTGGTGGTGGTGGTGGTGGTGGTGGTAGTGGGTGGTGGGT